AATTCCCCAGCCAGCCTGGGGGAATTCTGGGAGTTGAAGCCCACCCGTCTTAAAGTGGCCAGGGTTAAGGAACCCTGCTCTATGGCATCTCTGGCCGAGGGCATCCGTGGGGTGAGGGGAGCTGTCAAAAAAGCCAAGCTGCAGCTGCTGTCTTGATTCTTTTGAACCCTTCTGTGAACATGCTTGTCTCCAACGGCCATCCAGCCTCTCTGGGAAGAGCTCTTCCCTTCCATATTCCCGACCAAAATGCTGAAGACCCAGCTGGATGTCCGCCAGCCGCCCGCCGTTCCAGGCCCCGTGCCTGCTGCTCCTTCCTGCCCAGCCAGGCCTGAGAGCTCTCTCCTCCCTCGCTCTTCAGGCACGATCAAGTTCAGCTCACTCAGGCTGCCTTCGCAAGGCAAGGCCGTCCGACAGCCCTCGAGGCACCAGCGAGTTCTTCTTCGTCTTCCCGCTTACACAAAATCCCATTCCTATCCCTGGTGGAGAACGAGCTCCTGCAGGATCCTGACCCACGGCAGCGGGGGGCCAGGCGTTCTGTGGGGCGAGATCAGAGGCGTATCCCCCGAGAAACCCTCTTGCTGCCTGTCTTACCTGCTGCACCCTGCAAGCAGAAGTAGCGAAAGCCGGAGGGAGGGAGGGCGCTCCTGAAGGGGCGCCGGCCCTGCTGCGTCTCCACGCTTGCTAACTCACGGCCCCCCCTCTTACCTGCAAACACCACGGAGCAATAGGCATCGCTGATGTCGCCGTCGGGCGTCTGGACATTCTGGGCGTGGAGGATGAAAACTCGCAGCATCCTCGGGGAGCTCTGGCGGGGCCCGGCCCGCTGGGGTGGCCGATTCCCGATTTCCTTCGGGCCAGTCCCCTCGGCTCCCAAGCCAGCCGAGCGGCTCTTGGCACGTTGCTCCAGCGACAGCCAAACAGCCCTTAAAGGGGAGGCAGCCGCGGCCAGCTGACGAGCGGCCGCGCAGCGCCAGGGATGCTCTGCTCCGCCCGCCGGGTCCTGGGCCCCCGGCTCGTTTAAGGGCAAACGAACCGCGGAATTGGATTCAGCTAGCCAATGGGGCCGAAGGAGGATCGTGGCTGGAGTTCACCCTTCCATGCGCGCGCGCGCGCGCGCACACACACACACACACACACACACACAGAG